GTCCAGAACAGTTTTAAGGCACTCAATCAATGTTAAAAAGTTCATTCTTGCCGGAAGGGAAAAGAGCTTAGTAAATTTATCACCCACTCATTACATAATACCTATATATTTGTATTGTATTTGTTGAAAACAAACAAATTTATAATACTATAAAAACGGTTAACAATGATATGTCTGACGGGACAAGAATAATTCAATTTACATCAATAAAAAGCAAATAATTTTGAATTATGTGAATAGAAATTGATCAAGAAAATAGAAAACTCACTTTCATTTTTCCATCAGATTAGATTTGTGCCAAAAGCATTGCATCATGTAGCGTTGATATTACTCGTTCCTGAAAGTAATGAAATTAAAAATTCTATCAGAGGCAGTCAAACATTAATCTTTTCGGCTCTGCTATGGCCACCGAATTTTAAAGACATTCATCTTGCAGCATGGTTTTTTCTAATGAAATCTTTGAATAGATAGGCTTATCGGAAAAAAAGACAATAAGTGAAAGGAGAAATATAAATTGAGGAAAATGAATAGGCATACAGCATGGAGAATGCAAAAGATATTAGTTCATGAATGTATTAATTAATTTATCAACATAAATAATGGGATTATTGTCCTTTCATTTGCTCTTAAGATTAGATTAACTGAGATGATATTGAAATTTATATCAGTTAAATTTGAAGAGGCATGTGTAGAGTACGTTTTTGTACAAAGGAACACTATTGAGATACAATTTGCATTAAAGAGAATTTGGTTCATATTATATTATTAATTGTAACTCCTCAAATTCTTAATTTATTGGTGGTTGCTTTTCGTGTATTAATATTACATGAGTGTTTTGGTAGGGTAGAACAAATTTATCATTTATTGTAAGGTGAATTTACTTTTTGATATAAAAATATTGTTTAAGAGAAGGGTAAAATTGTCACTTAGTTTTAAGTGGGTAATATGGTAATTCAACTTTTATTTTTGGTCTTCCCACTTATAATGTAGTATTATTATATTATATTATGATGATGATGATTAATAACTGCTGATTCTTTTGATAAACTAGTGGAAATTAGGGAAGATCAGCTTCTCCACTTCTACCTTGACTATCTATCTATCTATCTATATCTATATCTATATCTATATATATCTATCTATCTATATATATATATATATATCTATCTATATCTATATCTATATATATCTATCTATCTATATTTATATCTATACTATATTAAAAGCACAATGGCCCTTAGCGAAATGTCGTTCGCCTCTTTTACCCTTTTAAAATAGAGTTGACACTAGACAAAGTAGTCATTCCATTAATTATTTAGGAGTTTGAAATTAACTAAAACTATGGTTAATAAATCTTTCCTTATTTGATTTATGTAGAAAATCCTACTATGTAGGACTTTAAAGTCCATCACAATTTTACCTTATATATAAACCATTTTCTTATAAGAACTATGTTCATATTAATTTTTTTTTTTGATATTTATATTATGTTAGTCGTTCTAACATGAATAAAGAAATGACCATAACGAACAATCATTACCCTGTTGCTTGACTAACCAAAATTTATATAAAAATAAAATACGACAAAGTTCAGTTTTAAGATTCTTTTTCATTCATAGTCATATTATGTGTTGGGTTTGAACAATTCCTACGTGCTGCAGGGAATTGTCATTTAATGCTTTTTCAATATTTATTACAATTACTTGTCCGTTTAATTAAAAATATATATCAACTATAGAGTGATAAAATCTTAGATTAATAAAATATTAACTTGTTATGAGTTAGAATATTTAATCAATTTTATGTGATGAATGCGACGATTCAAACAACCCGTACAATATTCGTAAGTGAGTTTAAATCAATGATCATACATGAGACATAAACCAATGATAATATATGAGACATTATAAATAAAAATCACAATTGAAAACTTTCGATTTAGAGTTTTTTATCAATTATCAAACAACAATTCTAACATTAAAACCGTAGTACAAGATAGAAATTTACCGCAAGTGACAAGCAAATTTTCTATGAGGACGTATGTTTATGACAAAAAATGTACAAAATAGCTTCTTTCATACTTGCAAAATTCTGATTTCAAAACAAAGAAGAAAGAACCTAATACGGTAAGCAAAGCAGAAATTGAATCCTTTATAAAATTCTAGAAACATATCCAAAACAAAGAAGAAACGAATGGAAGAAGCCTAATAGTAAGTAAAGAAGAAATACGTCTTTTTAACCCCCTTTAAAATGAAGTTCAATTCTGGATAAAATAGTCATTGTCATCTTATTATTGTTCTAATATTTTAGGATTTTAAATTAACTAAAATTTTAATAAATTCTGTAAGAACTATCAATATTTAGAACTTTAAATCTTTCCATAGCTAAATATTCTTAACATACTATAGAAGAAGGAAGCATATAACTAGGCATTCATGACTTCTTTAGACGTCCTTATTTTCATTAAAAATGATTATTTCAAAGAGAAATTCGTATTCTTTTATTTTCTCATAATATTCAAAAAAATTAGAATTGGACAACAAAATTGAAATTAAAAAAAATAATAAATAGTCACCGGTATAATAAAGAAAGCTTAATAATTTGAACATCGAAGTTAGCCACCAATCTTCTTACTGTCAATATGTATATGCTTTTTAAAAATAAATTACCCATTGAGACAATATACATGTGCAATGCGCGTATCATAATACTAGTTATATTAAAAGCACGAAGGCCATTGGCGAAATATCGTTCGCTTTTTTTACCCTTTAAAAACAGTTTTTACAGTAAACAAAATTGTAATTTAATTTACTCTCCTAATAATTAGGATTTTGAAATCAATTAAACTTTTGCATATATTAAACCTTTCCTTATTAAACTAGGTAAGAAAACCTAATATTTAGGAATTTAAATCAATAAATATTTTACCTTATATAAGTTATACTAATTGAACATAATTCCTTTCTGATGTGCACGTTCTTATATGGTGACTTCAAATGATTTTCAATCAAAAACTTAAAATATGGGAACCTAAAATCATATATTAAATTAAAAGTATTTAATACAATAATGTATAAACTAAAATTATTTTAACGCGAAACAATCATATATGCATTTTAAATATTCTTATTTTAATCAAATAAAATATTTAATCCATGTTCAAATAAGCACCCAAAATGATTATTTGATGCCTTATATAATCATATTAATTAGTACAAGCCTAAATTTATATAATAAAAACATGAAACCTCAACCCGAAATGTAATTAAATTTGTATCCTTTAAAAATAAATTTCATATTGAATAAAAATGTAATATAAATAATTTATAAATATTTAAGACTTTAAAATTAATTAAAAGNATGTCCACGCATGTTTCAACAAAGTTATATAAATCATAAAAAATTTAAAAATAAAATAAATTAAAACCTCACTACATGGATAATATCGAAACCTTTGAACGAAGATAAATTGAGAAAACATATGAGTGATATTTTTAAAATATGTTATTCGATAAATCTTATTTGTGTCTTCTCGAATGAACTTGAGAATATCTTTTTAAAAATTAAAATAATCTTAAATCTTCAAGAGTTATGCATTCTTATTGAAACTAACAAAAAAGCACGATAACTCATGAAATTAAAATGACAAAACTATAAAATTGGAACATAATTAAACGTGAATATATTGAATAATGTTTGAGGACTTTTATGAACAAAATTTTTTCTTTTATTGTATTAGTTATAGACGATCAATAGTCATCAATTTCAACAGCTTATACTTTATTTATAACTCAAACATAATTTAAAACATATATAATTTTCTTACAAAATATTACTCATTGAGACGGGGAACACGCGCATCGCGCGTACACTAAAACTACTTATTATAAAAGCATGAATATAATGTCGGTTTACAAAAATAACCTTATAATATTAAGCATAATAACTCATAATAAAAGGACATAACCGGAATTCCAGATATTAGCCTTATAATCCTATTAGTTTTAGGACATAATACTACACGTTAGGAATCCTACATGATTATCTTTAAGAATCCTATTAGTATAATTACTTTCAGGATGTCTAATTCATATAAAATTGAACAAGTAAATATCTTTAGTCCTGTAATCTTATTACTTTTAGGATACACCTTAAAAATTCCTATTTGATTCTTATTTACTTTTCGGAAAAAATTCTTAAAAATATTACATTTAGAACAAGTAACTATCTTCCATACACGTTCTTCTTGGAGGAAGTTGACACAAATCTAAATTTCTTTGACGGGTGAATCTACTAAGCTATCACATAAATAAATACCTAATTATTAGAATTCAATTTGCTTATTTTTATTTCAAGAATATTAAACTATAGTACTATTTAGGGTTTGATCTAATTTTTAGGATTTTGAAGTCAACTATTAAATGTATTATCCACCTGGACAATTTAACATTGTGCAATAGAATCATGACTTTGCATAGACTTCTAATTCCAATTTTCTTCTCTTATAAATATGAAGTATGGAATATTTCATGCTGTAGAAACATTTAACGCGTAAGCTGAATGTTCATGTATAATAATAGTCGCAAGAAATATATTTCTTCCATGGATGATGAAAAGCTGAAGGTAGTCAAATAGAACTATTGGCACTACAAAAATATACAAAAGATCTCATGGCAACTATTGGTGGTTGTATAATAGCCAGAGCCATCAACGATATTTTTCTTACCAAGATAAGATGATCTTTAACGTATATGCATTATAAAAATTATTTTATTTTGGTCATCCTAGAAGTATATATATGTTAATGCAAACAATCTAATATTCTTTGCATGGTTAATATATAAGTATTAATATCACCGGACGTGATTCATATTTTTATTTTTTCTATTAAAAAAGAGAAGTTGGTCGACCAAGGGCAAAATTGCCCTTTTACCTTGCCATTTTATTTTTCCCCTATTTCTATCTTTAACAGTGCTCACTATTTCGACACAAACGAAAGATATGGGTCTAGAAACATCTCTCCTATGTTCCATCAAAAACTTAGGTGAACTCTTTGAGTTCTCCTTCTTCAGAATTTGAAGAAACCATTTCGGGTATGATTCTCTCACGGTTTTTGCTCCAATCTTTTTCTTTTTTTCTTTGTCTTCTTCTTCTTCTTCTTTGAGATCTCTTAACAATTTTCTATTTCATGGGTGAATTTCCTTGTCTGTTATTATTCTATGGTGACATAACATTCTTTATTTTTATAAGCAGTGATTGGTACTTTCACTATACTGTTTAAGATGTATTGTAGTTGGTAAAGTTAACTCACTATAAAAGAATGTGAATTTAAAATGGATATCTTTTTTTGCTCAAATTTAATATGCCAAAGTTTAATTTATCCTTTGTTAATGAAAAAAAAAAGTTATATTCTTTGGATTTATTTAATATGGTCATCAAAGTTATGAAAATGATATAGTAATGCCACTTTTGTATTTTTTGAGAGATTTATTTCTTATATTGCTTTTTGTTCACCAGAAGACATGGCAGTAACATGGTTGTGAACTTGTGATCCTTTTATATGTCAATAACTTGCTGATCACACGGACGATGACAAGATGGTTGAAGAATCTAAGAGGTACTACACCGAAATTTCAAGATAAAAGATCTAGGAGAGTCGAAATTCTTCCTTCGAATTGAATTTGCCGGGTTATAATAACAAATATGATGTATCAACACATGTATGCTATCATAAATCTCAAAGTTGAGATTAGAACAATGAGATTACAGATTAAATTGACGGTATCATACAAAACTAACAGGTAATCCTTTAGAGCTCAAGTTGAATTTCGCAAGTGCTAAACTTGACGAGCACACAGGAAACAGTATAAGGTCCTATAGAATGCTAGAGTTACCATAGATTGATTGGCATAATTGTTATAGTCATAGTGTATAATTGTGTTGCCGAGTATTAGATTGTTACATAGTGTATAGTAATTGACATGAGGTTGTTTTCTTTGTTTATTTAAGTTGATAGATGTAGTAGTGTGGACATATATTTGTTTTTCCCATCTTTTTGCTGCGGCTTTTTCCAAAGAGCTAAAATACATAACCTGTCAGAAATATAGAAGCTTCCATTCTTGAGAAGTTGCAAAGAAATATAGAATGAGACCACAAACTCTGAACATTTTCCCATCTCAGTCCGTGCATACCAACAGTTAATGTTGGCTTAAGCTTGCTACTCTCGGAACAGGTTATGATTTCTCCAAATAGCTGCACCGTGGTTTTTTTTTTGGCCATGCTAATTGTTATACTTCGTCCACTACATTCGTCTCTTACATTTTATTATATACAGAGTTGATATTCTATACTCATTCGACACTTAACTGAAAATTAGCTTCGTTGTTATTTGGTTATCTTTGACATGATATTTATGTGTCCGGCAATATGATATAAGGAAGGAAATGGGACAATATGGCCACCATTAATGTGTTCAAGTAATGGAAATGTATGATAGTTCTCTGCAAAGAAGTGTTCCAGTTATATGTCTACTTTATAGTAGTTTTTAATGGGCAAACTTGTGCGAAGCAGAGACTTATATCTTTTATGCAGCTCTTTAAAGACGATTCTTCAGATAGTACCATGACACTGACCTTCAGATCTACTGATTGGGAATTATGATTTCTTATATTTGGTAGATGAATACTGGATTAGCTTCACCAGCTATTAGTGATTACAAGAGTCCATGGATGTGTTAACCCAAAAATAATGTTCTCTCTGCTTCTGGTCTTTAACCACCCAACGCTGGTAATGTATTTTCAATTGAAAATTTCTTTTTTCAAGATACTAAAATATTTCCCCTTTTTTTAGTTTCTTCTTAAAAGTTCTTATTGCTTTCAGCGTGGTGGTAGCGAGAGGGAAACAGGAAAGGTACAACTTCATTAGAGCAAGATTCACCAAAAACACTAGATATAAAAAGTTTGGTTTTGTTAATTGAGAAAATTCATCTGTTTATATTTCCTTTACTTATTATGTTGTTGAGTCCTTCTATTATTATCATTTGAAGGAGGTTTTTCTACGTGATTGCATTCATTGTGTTATTTTGATCTTCATATTTAATTTGTCCATCAGTTTGAGATCAGTGGGATAGAGATGCTTCCTGAATAGTTCAAAGAAGTCCAACTTGAGAGACACTCTAAACACTAATTGCAAGCAATAAGAAACAACATGGACATTATAATGCAATTTCTGGTCAACTCAGTGATGCTGGCTTGAAATATTATGATATCTTATTCATGAGGAATGAGTAATTTCACAATGAAAAGGTTATAGGACTTGATATATGTTAAATGCAGAATATAGTGATCCCTGCTGGCTGCCGCTAATAAAATATTGACTTTTCTTGGTTGTCTGTCTTCAAAATAAGAGTCCAACAGTGGGGCGCTTTAATGTTATTGGCTAATGTAGCATCTAGATATATGTATGTATCTAGATATATTGGTGATTGCATATTAAGATTATCTTGATAAATTATTGACTTCACTTTAAGATTCTTGAAGCTCAAAGCAAAAAGAACACATTACTTTTTTGACTTACCGAATTAATTAGAATGTCTTTGACTTAGATTCTTATGATAGACTTGGAAACTTTGCTTTATGACGCAAGATCTGTCGTCATAAAAACTTGAAGAAGTGTCTTCCACTTATATAATTTTTGTACTTTTTGTATATTTATTTGGTTATTAATTTTTTTCAATAAAATTCAATTTATTTGATATATCTTGGAACATATCAGTAGAGCCTCTAATTTGCATGTTCACTTTCTCTTTTACAGTAACGTTTATGATGCTTCTTAAATGGATTTTCTTTCAATACTTGTACGAAATCTCTTTTTCGTGGAAATTATAAGCTATTTCCCAATAAAGGATAAGTATTAGCTTCTAACATTCGAAATTTTTCAAAAAATTTTTATGTTACTATATTGTTGATATGCAGGACTTTGAATGAGTATACATGTGATGGTACAAAATACTAAAGGAAATTAGCTTTTATGAAAATGAAAGATTTTTGACTTCGATTCAATGGACCAATTCCTCCCAAGCTTGGCAATTCTCCAACCATTGTAGAAATATTATGCATTTTAAGTCTCTTACTGTTATTGTCATTGTATGTGGATGTACCTTTATAGTCTCAGCTAAATATGGTTTGTCATTGTTCACTGATTCAGATGGATTCCCTGAGTTCAAGCGTATGTGACATAGCCTACATTATGCTTTTTAAGTTTTTGTACTTTTATGTTTGAGACTTTTTATTTTTAAGAACTTAAAAATGTACATTACCTTGTAAATAAATGATGTTTGAGACTTTTGAAGTCATTTTACAGTCCAAATTCTAAGGTTCATGCTTAGTTGTCACCTCGAGTTACGTTTACTTGACTTCCATGTTATGGGAATATACTGGTTGAAAGCAATGGCCAGTGATATCAGAGGCATTTACAAAATTATCAATATTCTGAATGATATGTATTGGTATTTAAACCAAATCAACGATTTAGAAAAAAAGTCTGCTACCTAAAAGTATGAAATGTTGTGCCCGTGCAAAGCTATCTAGTTTCAATAGAAAACACATATGATTTTGTAAATAATATTAGGTGAAGTTTTTCCTTTTTTTTTGTTTGTTATAAATCATATTTAATTGATATACATATTTCTTTCCGAAAGAGTAGAAGCTATAACCAATTAATCATAAAATTAGCAAATATCCGCAAAAGAAAACAAATAGCGGATGGTTCTTGTGGTTCTTTTTGGGGCATCAAAGTAATCGAATATTTAAGATTTCTCCTAATTCTTTATTAATGGGATATTAAATTTGCATGTACATAAAAATAATAGATTTTAAGCATAAAAAAATCTGATGGATGTTTAAAAGAAGGAAACCCTAATTCTTTTTCTCCTTCCCTCATTATAAATTTGTATACCTATAATAATTATCTATATCTATCTATTCCCTTTAATTTTGAGTATTTGAGTATAAGTTAACCAACATGAAATTATCTCTTTAAAAAATTATTTAACCAACCTAAATATCCAGAATTTTAGCAAGAAAGAGAAGACAAATGAAAAAAGTGCATTAACTTCAATGATAACTAACAACTAAAATTCTCAAGATCCATGATATATATATTGAAGTACTATTCTTGTCCATGTGGAATTGGTAAAGGGATTAGCTTGATGAGTTCTTGGAGTATATTTGTCATGCTACTCAATTAGATATATTTAATAGCGCATTAGTGAAAGTTAGATGATAATTATCAAGTAAATAAATTTATAGTTAAATTAGGGTAAGAGGCACTTTAAAGTGTTCTTATGCAAGTAAAATTGTAGAACCAGTAGGAAATAACGATTCAAATAGTAAAAAAAAATTGAGTTAAAATTGAGTTCTTATAAGAATTGATGATACTTTTAGAAAAGAATTTTGGAGAAAAGACTGAAGTAGTAGAATGAAGTAGCATGACAAAGAGAAGACTTCTAGGTTTACTGTGAACCATGATTTTTTATTCTTTTTTTTTTTTGAATATTTCAAAACCTTATATTTATTAAAAATAGAAGTAGGTTAAAGGCCGTACAATTTGTTTTTTAAGGGAATGAATAGGAAAAATACCAACTTATTTTGAACTTTTTGACAACTTTTATTTGTATAGCTGATAAAATAAATTTGCAAAGGAATATTTTATTATACTCACTTTGAGATATTGATTTTTTGTCAATTTATTTTCTCATTGAACTGCTTTTCAATGGTGATACGGGTACTTGATGTTGTTTAATTCATATATACTTTCACACTATTGATATGTATCTTGGGGAAAGTCCATTAATTTGTTCTAAATCATCCTTTAGGCTTATTTAGTTGTTTATTTCCTAATTGTTGATTCCAGTTCTTCAAAAGCATCGTTTGATTTTAAACATCTTTCAATTGAAGGAACTATGTCTCATTTTTCTTATTATTTAAGTTTACTTATATATATATTGTATGCATGATAATTTTGGGATTTACATGCCTTTTAGTGATTAATACGAAATAATTACGTGCTAACACACGTATATAGAAATTAGTAATTATAAAAAAAGGGAAAATAGCGCCAATTAGGAGTACGTAAAACACTTTTTTCCTTGTTGAACATTAAACAAAGCAAAAGAGAGAGTTAATTCCTTATATAGTCACCCAAATTACGTTGATAAAGTCACTTTTGTTTTTTTTAACAATAAAATCATTCATGTTTTGCTTATTATCCCACGGATCACACCGGAAAACCTCTTTCTTTCTCCGGATTATATGTGATGTTAACGGGCGGATTCATAGCCCATGTTATGGGGTACGTGAACCAGTGGCCTTTCCGTCAAACTAGATATCTTATGTATGTAGTTTTAGAATTGGTCTACTATTATCCGCTGACTCCATACATATTTCAGAAGGACTAATGGTGCACTTATTGAATACAAAATTATTTATCCAAAAGGAATATATATCAATTTTTACTCAATACATCCTTTTTTCTCTTTCTTTAATGGGGCATATATGTCCTAAATATTCTAGATCCGTCTCTGCCATTTTTCAGTCGGGATCAGGAAACAACTTTCGTTTGACTATTACAGCTCTTTGTTAATGCTTTATTTATTATTTCTATAATTGTCGACTTGGTTGTTTAGGAAACAATAAATACTCCAATAGAAAAGGGAGGAAATCATGTGGTCTATTTAATTTTTATAA